GTCAAAAAATCCGCTTCTCCCATAATTTCTATATCACACTCTGCAACTCCAAATCAAGCTCAGCATGATAATGCATCAAATTAGGCTGTTGTGATTGTATGGATGAGAACACATCACAGCAAAGGTAGCCAAGCAAGTAGATGATTTTATGATACTTGTAGTCGACTTTAATGACAGTTGTGAAATTAGTTTAAACTCTGCTCAAACGCAATAATCCACCATTGAATGAATGAAGGAATGCAGCTTTATATATGGTTTACATATGAAGTATTTTCATTCCAGCAGCTTTCGAGTAGTTACCATTGCTACTATAAATTAGACTTGACCATGATACTTTCGGCACTGGTTTACCCATGGTAAATTTTGTCTTTTAAGAAGAGAGGTTTGGTTGGTTGCCAGGATCCTTCCTCGAAAAATAATATCGAAAAGATAATTTTGTCTGTGTGTTAGCTTGATTTATCTAATGTTTTCAAAGTGTTTTTTGTGAGCCTTGTTGGTGTTCTTGGGCTGCATAGAAAATGTGAAATATACCATCCATAACAGGGTTTGATCCCTAGAAACATTTAAACCGGGAAGCTTTTTCAATTCATCCACGAGGATTGCTTGTTATGGTATTATGATCTAAAACTATTCAAACTAGAGACCACAAGATTTTGCTGATCCTCCCAGTTATCAAAGAACACCCTCTTTGTCCAGTTAGTGCTGTTTTGCATGCATTCGCTGTGATATGATATAAGCCCACCCCACTAACTAATTTTACATGTCAGGCCCCTGGGCTTATACTCTGGGAAGTACAGTAGATTGAATAATTTTTTAGTGGATTTACAAGAAAATCAGAACTATAGCTATCAGAAGAAGCCATCATATCCTGATGCTTTTTTAGTCTTAATTTGTTTAATTGCAATTTTGACATCATTTTCATAATATTGAATCTTATCTGAAAAACAAAATGACGTACATCAAGGTCCCATAATGTCCAATGTATGTACCGAGTTAGAACAAAAGCCATCTGTAAACAACTGAGGAATGGTTGATTTTGATGATTTTTCAGTGCAAAAATGGCCGCCATTTGGCCATCATGAATCAGATTGTGAAACAAATTAATGTGAATACGTACAATATCAAAAGTAATATTCAATAAAACAGGTAAATGTCTAATCAAATTTAAATTTTATATTAACAATGATGAATTGGAAAGAATAACTCTTAGCCTGTGTCTCGGCCCAATGCTAGGAAGCAATGTACATGTATGTTACCTCTCAACATCAGGAAATGTCAGGGATCGACAAACAAAGATGAAAACAAAATATAGATTTATTTGTTCTGTGTGCACAAGGTATCACATGATTGTACGATATACCAGGCATACACAAATATTTACTGTAAACACCAAAAATATCTAGTACGTGAACATTACTTACAATGGATTAATATACAGTTAATAATGATCAAATACTATATATATACCTCAGATATCAATAAACCTAATACTATATTAATTCTCCAATGGTATGTGATTAGACTATAAACACAAATTATTTGAAATATCATAGCTGTACACATTAACATTAATCAGAAATGTGCAGATATCACTGGCATTCCAACCGTATTCAATTCATTACAAACTGTGACCAAGCATTCAGAACATTT